GGCAACAACATGGTGGTCCGTGTGAAGTGGTTTTACCATCCGGAAGAGACCAGCCCGGGCAAACAGTTCCACGAGGGCCAGGTGAGCCTTTCCCTGCTGGGGACTGAGAGAGACCTTGGTACATAAAGGCAGACCCATGGTTGTTGAAAGGCAGAACCCATGGTTCTATGGGTGTGATAAAATACCCTGACAGAAAGCAACGTAGGAGAGTAAGGGTTTTCTTTTAGCTGACGGTTCTACGTCACCGTCCATCTCCGTGAGGACAGCAGTCATATCACATCCGCAGCTTGGGCAGAGAGAATGAGTGCATAGTGCTCAGCTCGCTCCCTCTGCTCACACAGTCCAAGGTTCCCTGTGCAGGGAATAGTGCCGCCCACAGTGGACTGGGTCTTCTCACCTCAGTTAACAAGATCAAGATAATCCCCAGCAGAGGTACCCACACCCCAGCCTACCTAGAGGGCGCCGCATTGAGACTTTCTTCCCAGGTAATTCTAGATGGTGTCAAATGGACAGTTAAAAACTAACCATCACACAGCTTGAGGCTGGGTGTCTGGATGCTGAGAACAGTGGCCCTGCAAATGGGGAGGTTGAGTCCAAGGGAGCTTGTATAGTCAGCCTGAGATCTCAGATGGAGGTAAAACAAGGCTCAGACTTAACCCTATCCCCTCATCTATCCCCCCAGCACTGGGACCAGAAGTCGGGGCGCAGTCTCCCTGCAGCCCTGCGGGCCTCCAGCCAGAGGAAGGACTTTATGGAGGTAAGAAGGCAGTGGTGGGCTGGTGCTGGGGTATCGGCTCTGTCCAGATGGGGTGGACTGGAAGCTTTCTGCTCTGCCGCTCCAAGTCTCTCCCTCTTGTGTCTGTGGCTCTGAGCTAACGGGGTCCCTTTCTCTGTCCCACCTGCTCGCTGAATCTGCCTTTGGCTCAGCGCCTCCTAGTGTCATTTATAGACACATCTGTCCCTCTTCTCTGTTGTTTCTCTCATTTTTATTTCTTTTCTGTGTGTCTGCATATACAAAAGTTCACACCCATGGTGGGGAGTGTGCGTGTGCATGTGGGTGTGGGTGGAGGCCCAGGGTCAGCACTGGGAGTCTTCCTTGATCGTCAAACCCAGATCTTACTAGCCAGCTTGCTCCAGAGGTCCCCTGTCTCTGTCTTCTGAGGCTGGAATTACAGGTGGGCTAACACCCCCACCTGCTGCTTATGTGAGTTCTGGAGATCTGAACTCGGGTCCTCATAACTTGCTGCTCGTAAGATGAGGACCTTAATCCAAGGAGTCTGCACAGGCCATATGTCCATTCTTACTTTGGGGCACTGTTTCCTCTTGCCATCTCTGTTTCTCTTTTCTCTTCGTCTCCTGTGGTCTCTGTCTCTCTGTCATTGTCTCTTAGTCTCTCTCAGTCTCGGTCTCTCCGACACTTGCTCTGTCTCTTTTGTTTCCATCTTTCTCCATCTCTATCGCCATATCTTGGTCTCCAGCTCTGTACCCTTAAAGCACCCTGGGGTCCCCCTGATCCAGAAGGGTTCTCTCCAGTCCCTAACACCGACACTGTGTCCCCGCAGCGTGCCCTGTACCAGTCCTCCCATGTGGATGAGAACGACGTTCAGACAGTGTCCCACAAGTGCCTGGTGGTGGGCCTGGAGCAGTATGAGCAGATGCTAAAGACCAAGAAGTACCAGGACAGCGAGGGCCTGTACTACCTCGCGGGCACTTATGAGCCCACCACAGGCATGATCTTCTCTACAGATGGCGTGCCTGTGCTCTGCTGAGTGCCCCCCTACCCAGCGGGGCCCACAGAGACCCCTCCCCACCACTGCCATGGCGCGGGACCATGTGTGTTGTGTGCATGCCAGTGTGCTCGTGGGCGTGTGCATGTGACCAGGTGGACGCCCCAGGCAAGTGCGAGTGTGTACATGTGTGTGCCCGTATGCATGCACGTGTGTGCGCACATGTGCACACATCTCTAGACCCTTTCTGGTCATCCCCTGGTGCCCTCATGCTGAGACACCTCCCCCACCCCCACTCCCACCCCCCACACCCAGCTATCAGGGTCCGGCTCTGCTGTCCCGTCAGGGTCATCTCAGAGGGGACTTCCCTCCAGCACTTTGTATGCGCTTAATGAGGCTGCCCTCCGAGCTCTGGGCCTGTGTAGACTTTGATTCTGTGGATGGGGTGAGGGAGAGTTCCAAGGACCCAAACCGATGCTTGGTATCGAGTTCAGCCACACCCAGCACGGAGCCCATCGAAGGCCTTCCACCATGGGCCGGAGGGCCCCAACGCCAGCCAGCTTCACCAATCACTGGGCATCTGGGTGCCTGCATGCCCGGCCTCCACCCTCTCAGGACAGCCTGGACTTGGGGAACAAGGCAGGGGAGGGCAGCCCAGGAGCATCACCATACCTGGTGGGCCCCCCAGCCCAGACCCTTACACTACAGAAAACCCCAATGGTGCTGAAACCCGCGCCCACGCCCGGCACGGCCCGCCCGGCCCCCTCCACTAGGAGGATCCGAAAGGTTACCTGTACAGTTTATTGTAGCCTGCCCCTGTATCATACACCTTTAAATGGAGTCAACTTTTTAATTATATATATAAAGATAAATATATATAAATATATATATAAACTTTTTAAAACTGTGAAAAATAGCTATGAAATTATAAAAAAAAAAACACATTCTGACGTGCAGAATATTATTTTTTATTTCCTGTTAGATTGTGAGTGTCTAGCACCGGCTTTATGCCTCCCCCCAACTCCCCTGCACCCTCACCCCTGCCCATGTGTACTGTATGTGCCCCAAATGGACGAGAGATGGAGATAGACAGAGGGGCCCCAAGCCCAGCCCCCAGCTCAGCCCGAAGCACTTAACCAGCCCCCCTGTGCCTGCCAGACCCCAGTGGGGTCCCCGGAGGCTTTGAGCAGACAATCTTGAAGGAAGGAAAAGCCAGACTTCGGTTTTGTTTTGTTTTGTTTTGGGGGGGGAGTAATTACTGTTTCCTGATTTTTTTTTTTAACATTTCTTTTGGAATTTTGTTTGTTGGCAAATTCTGTGTGATCTTTTTCATAAAAAAAAAAAAAAGAAAAGAAAAGAAAGAAAAGAAAAAATTTAATTGGAAAAATACTCTGGCTTGGAGTGTCTTATTTGGGAGCCTGGGATGGTGGGGTCGGTTTGGAGGAGCCCCACATGCCAGGGGCAAAAGCCAGGGTGCACCCTGGAGCTGCTCTACTAGGCACAGAGATGAATGGGCTAGGTCAAGCATTTCAGAAAGTTCTGGAAGCCGGGATAGTCTGTCTTGTTTAAAATTCAAGAGCTAGGGGCTGGAGAGCTGGCTCAATCATTATGAGCACTTGTTGCCTTTGTGGAAGGTCCAGGCTCAGTACCCAGCACCCACATGGCAGGTCACAACTGTACGTAACTCAGTTCCAAGGGACCTGACACCCTGTTCTGACCAGGGGTCACTTGGTGCACAGATACACATGCAGGCAAAGTACATCTTGAAGAAAAAAAAAAAAAATTAAGAGCTACAGGATGGAGAGTTTGTCAGTAAATTGTCTGAGTTCCATCCCAGGAAAGCAACAAGAAGCATGGTGGTGCCCTCAGGATCACAGGGCAGGGAAAGGGAGGGCGGCCTCCATGGCTAGCCACTCGAGCCAAATAAGCAAGCAGGATGGCCTGCGGCCTGTGGGCTGACGCCCACACATGGATGGGTCACGGTAACAGTTCTGCGCCCTGTGGAAGCTGGGTTGAGGGACTGGATGCCGGCCATCACCACCCCCAAGTGTGAATCTGCATAGATAGCTGCAGCCCTCATTCTGGGCTTTTCTACATCACAGCTGGGGGTGGGGTGGGGGGTGACAAGTGTTAGGCTGAGCAGGGAAACTGAGTGAAGTGGTGAATGGGAAGTCACTCTGTTGCCATCTGGTGGTCCCCTATGACATCACCACCATCCAGGTCTTGATTCATAAGGCTGCCCAGCTAGGACCCACAAGGGTTGCACACCATGTGAGTGCCAGAGGCTATAGGACTGAGGTGGCCCTCCTCCAACGCTCCATTTTCCCAGCCCATTCCTTGGGTCTCCAGGAACGGAACAGTGAAAGGATGCTTCTGGTCCTGGGAAGGTGGCTCAGTGAGCGCTATACAAGCATGAGGACTGAGTTCAAATCCCCAGAACTCAAAAAAACAAAACAAAACAAAAAAAGAGTATGGCCAGTGGGTGGTAATGGGAGGATTCCAGGAGCTTGCTGGCCAGCCAGTCTAGCCTAAAATGTTGAGGAGCAGCTGTGGTGAGAGACTAGATAAGGAAGGCAGAGGGGATGTGACAGTAGATGTTTGGGTCTTCCTCTGGCCTCTGCACATATACGTGCATAACACAGAGGGGGGGGGGAGGAAGGGGGAAGGGAGGGGAGGGGAGAGGAGAGGAGAGAGACAGAATCTCCAAATCATCATCAGAGCTGGATAGACTGCAACAGGAAGACTCCATTCCTGAGCAACCCGCCTCCTGGACCAAATCACTTTCTTCTGAGCTCTTCTTCCAATGCACCAGATGGGAATCCTCATGGGGCCAATGGTCACTAAGGGCCAGTGCAAGCTCCAGATGGTCAGCACTAGGCACGAAGAACAGGCCCCTGACCAACCATCCGCTCTAAGAACACCTAGTCACCGGGCGGTGGTGGTGCACACCTTTAATCCCAGCACTTGGGAGGCAGAGGCAGGCGGATCTTTGTGAGTTCAAGGACAGCCTGGTCTACAGAGAGAGATCCAGGAAAAGCGCAAAACTCCACAGAGAAACCCTGTCTCGAAAAAAAAAAAAAAAAAAAAAAAAAAAAAAAAAAAAAAACACCTAGCTCAGGGCAGGTGGGGCTGCTTCATAGGTGGGGCCACAAAGGTCTCAGCATTGTGGAGAAGACTTAATCCACCAGGACCCCATTTTAATCTCCCCACCCTACCCCCAGTGGCTCAGTTCCCCCCACTCCCCCCACAAACACCTCATGAGGGACAGCAGTGGGCAGTCTCTGCCATCTTTAATGGCCAGTGCGGTAGTCAGAGGACACACAGGTAGACGGGACACAGCAGGGTTGGCACAGGGTGGTCACAGCTGGGGCCAGAGTGTGGAGAGAGGCAAGTGTCCTGGTTCAGCAAAAGCCATCTTTGGCCAGAGGCCCCACAGCCATCCCCACCACCCAGTGACCCCACTCTCCAGCTCACTGCCATTTGCCAGGGTTTCAAGTGGGTCACGTTACTAATTGATTCTCAATGGACAGGGGCAGGGTGGCCTAGGCCAAGAGTGGATCTCGGCTGTCCCTGCATTATGGATAGGTTGAGTGGTGTTGGGGAGGAAATGGGAGGACCTCCCTGTTAAGCATGACCCTTAGCCTGTGCTCTAGGGGCGTGCGTGGGTGAAATCCTCCACCTCAGGTGGGTACACCCAGGTCAGCTCTGCAGCTATGACTACGGGAAGCCTGTGTAGACCCAGGAGTGAGTTTTCCACACTTAATGCTGTGTGTGTGTGTGTGTGTGTGTGTGTGTGTGTGTGTGTGTGTGTGTAGTGTCTAAGTGTCTAAGAAGGGGAGAAAATGGGACCAGGGACTGTCCCTTTCCTTCAAGATTTCTAACACTCATGAGGATGTACCACCTACCCAATAAGTGAAAACCACATTGAAGACCATGGGACCTTTGCGGCAGACCCCACAGTGGGGTCATAGGGAAGGGAGTCACTCAGACTTGTGGTCAGCCATTCTGGAGGGCTTTAAGTCTGAATAACCCCATCATGCTGACAGGACAAATGTTGGGCCTCTGGACGTAGGGGATGAAGGGCAGGCGTCTGACCAAACACAGAACACATGGGTGGGCGGTGTCCAGGGTGGTGAAGACATGTTCCACCTGCAGCGGACAGCTGGAACGAAGTGGCGAGGTGGCTTTAGTGGCTTAGGAGGCGGCCAGGACCCCGCAGGCACTGAGGCAAGGGTGGGGAGAGTCCTCAGGCCTTGGGGGGGCTGGCCTGAGCAGCCCTCCCTGGGCAGTGGGCAGGGTCAGGTGGGCCTGGCTCAGGGGCCGACGGGGATGGAGTCATTGGCGGTGGCTGTTTGGAAGCAGCTGCTGTGGGCGTCACGGGTGAGGCTGTAGGTGCAGTAGGCAACAGCAGAGCCCAGGGTCAGCCCCGACATATAGGACACGGTCATGGTGTTTCCTGTGGGCAAGAGCGACCTGACCTGAGTAAGGGGCGAAGAGCAGCCATGGGAGCCGAGGCCACACTGTGCTGGACAATTTCTGTGGCCATGGCTTCTCGGGTGTGCACTATGGTGACAACTGTCAGTGCCCAAAAGCATCCTGTGTTAAATACTCCTCCCTAGAAACCCACTGTCTCAATTTTGGGTCTTTTAGGAGTGATCTCACTGGAGTCCCTGAGGTCTTGCCTACTTCTCTCCCTTCTCTTCCCTTCCTTCTTCATTCTCTTCCTTCTCTCCAATCCTTCCTCCCTCCCCCCTCTCTCCTTTTCTTTGTTTCTTTGTTTGTTTCTTTGTTTCTTTGTTTCTTTGTTTCTTTCTTTCTTTCTTTCTTCCTTCCTTCCTTCCTTCCTTCCTTTCTTTCTTTCTTCCTTTCTTCCTTTCTTTTTTCCCAGTCTTATATTTTTGGTTGTGAGCCTAGCCTTTAATGGCTGAGCCATCTCTCCAGCCCCTTCCCAGTCTTAAAGATAGAATGTGTAGCCTTTCACAAGCAAAGCCAATTATCTACCACTGAGCCACACCCCAGCCCCTCACTGGGGGATTCTAGGCAGGTGCTCTACCACTGAGCCACACCCCAGCCCCTCACTGGGGGATTCTAGGCAGGTGCTCTACCACTGAGTCACACCCCAGCCCCTCACTGGGGGATTCTAGGCAGGGGCTCTACCACTGAGCTATATTTTCTGGCCTCTTTTTACTTTTTTTATTTTGAAAGCATTCTCATTTACCTCAAATCAGGAATCCTCCTGCCTTAGCCTCCTGAGGAGCTAGATGACAGGCCTGCACCCATCAGGCCTGGCTTCTTTCCATTTTTATCTATTGCCTCCTGCTTCCAGCTGTCTTCTTCTTGGGGACAATTCAGTATGCCCCCACATCTGACCTGGATGCCCCTTCCTTCACTTTCCTACCAGTCCATGGCAATACCAGCTTCACCTTCAGCAGGAGGCCCCAAAACTGGGAGTCTGACTCTCTTAGACCTCATCTCTCCATCTATCAGCTAACCCTGAGAACCACTGAGACAGGCTCTGATATCAGCCCTTCCCCCACACCCACACAAGCCTGTCCTCAGGCCTGAACCACTGCAGACGTTTCTGAATAACCTTCTCATTGCTGTCTGCTCCCGCTCCGTCCACCTGGCCTCCACCTGGCCTCACTGGGAGATCAAAGGCAGGTGCTCGGGACCTTTGCACATATGGCTCCTTCTGCTTGGATGCCATTTCTGGCAGCTTCCTGTACCCGTCTCCCTCACTTCTTCCTCCAGGATTTTGCTCAAAAGCCACCTCCTCGGTAAAATCTTGCAAGATTGTTCTCATTATACCATAGCCCCCCAATCCCTGTATCTGCCCCTACTTCTCAAACTAACATAACTCCTAGGACTTACCACCGTGAAACATATCACATCTGTTTGTTATCTCTCTGTTTATTGGCTGTCTCCATCTCAGGACTGTAACCCTGCAAATGTGGGCAGCATCATGTCTCCACTGCCCAGGAGAGTGCTGGACATACAGGCTTCCCGAGTAGCAGCAGAATGAATGAATGGATGAAATAAAGACGTTACTTATAGATGTCCTTATACCTACAACTTCCTTCACTTAACCCTTGGGACCAAATATATTTTCTCACTCACTGGCTGCTCTTGGCTTCTCCAGGCCTCAATTTCCTTTCTAGAAGGGCACTAGGTCCCTGAGGCCAGTGAGTCTTACCTGCCAGTTCCCGCTGCTTGGGGCTCACTTTACCGGCTGCCAGGATCATGGGCACACTGCCAAAGTAGCCATTGCTGATGCCCATGAGCAGCGAGAAGACACAGGGCCAGGCAGGGTGGCGGAGGGCAGGCATGCCACTGGGGTAGACACACAGGATGAAGAGGGGGATGAAGACCACGCGAAGGCAAGAACAGGCCAGCAGATGAGTGCCCCGCCAGTCCACGGGTAAGGCCGCCAGGATCTGCAGGGAGCAGCGAGTGTGAGTCGCCCACCGAGCCAGGAGCCTGCCTCTCTACCAGACGCTCAAGCTACAGCCTGTCCCCCGGCACCTGTGGCTCCATCCAGCTCACTCTGCAAGGCCCTCCAAAGCATTGCATGTACTTTTTTCCCTCTTCAGTACTGGTGATGGGGGATGAGACCTGGAATGTGCTAGGCAAGCACTCTGCTGCTGAGCCACTCCCCCAACACCTCACTGGGGGATTCTAGAGCATTTCTGAGGGGGTGGGGTGGCTCAGTGGTCGAATGCTTGCCTGACAAGGGCAAGGCCCTGGGTCTCATCCTCCATACTCCATAAAACACAGTAACAGCAAAACTGGCCACAAAGAGACGTGGCTCATCTGAGCTTCAGGGTGGCTGGTGTCCCATTCCGCCTCTGATCACCAATCCCATCTACTTGTGTGACAGATGTGCTGCTCAGCTGGCAGCCTGTGCCTGTATCATCCTCAGAGGGATCCACTAGTGACCGTGAGGCAGGAGAACTGGGGTTGATTCTAGCCTGAAATGCATTTGACGCCTATACAGGTCAGGGTTAGAGATGCCGGTACTCCATGGCTTCCACCCTCCCCACCTGGAACTCACATGAACCCTCAGTCTGGGGTTGCCCCAGAAAGACCAGAGCCTTCCTGGGACTCCCCAAAGCCACTCTGTGTCTCACCTTGCCCACAAAGTCTGACAGGTTGAACACAGCCATGACCAGGATGGGCAACCACTCGCCCAGCACGCAGTGGCGGATCTCGGACTCCAGGCCAGGAAACAGGCACAGTGTAATGAAGTAGGTTACCGCAATGGACAGCATGTCGGCCCAGATGACCCGTGCCACGACGTACCGGTGCAACAGCAGGGCTAGGGGAATCGAGGCGTGTTAGAGGGTGGTGCTCACGGGTCCCCTGCTGACTCAAGCCTGGGTGACAGCCCCACAGTGCCTCATACTGACCTCTGAAGGTGGGCCAGTTTCGTTTGACTCGTGGCTGAGGCACATCAAAACGCATGTAGGCCCCACTGTTGCTGTGGGCCACCTCATGGACTGGGCTGTCCTTCGGGGACCTGCTGCTGGACAGGGATGGAGTTTGGTGCTCCTGGGTAGAAGGGGATGATGGGAGTCATGGGCCAGGTACCCAGGGCAAATGGTATAGCCACAGTCATCTAGACATTCAGTCAGCACCTACTGTGTGCACTTGTCAAGGGACAAGCAGTCACCACCCAGCTTGCAGTCACCATGGGTAGCCTCCTCTGAGCCCTGAGGTGGGTGAGAGCGGAGGTGGTATGCAGCATATAACCACCAGAGGGCACTCTAGCTTTCCAGAACTGTGAATTGGCCTTCCCAGGCTACAGCCAACCACTCCAGGAGTGGGTATTGAGGCCACCCTTGGAGCAATGGTCTGTGCTGGGTGATCTGTGCCTCACAGAGAGGCACCCCTGAGCTGTGATGGAAGGGAGTTCATCACAGGATTCCCTTGCCTTCCATCTATTGGACTTCTTTGGACCCCACTTTCATGGCCCTGGGGTTCTCCCCTATCAGGCTTTGGAGATCTGCCACACACCCTGGGCTCTTCTCTCCGGCCATAGCTAAAAAAAATCACCTCCTGCTGTCCCAACAGGGTGTCCTAGCAGGTGGGTCACAGGAGCTGAAGAGAGCCTTGGGCCACAGATGTGGGATGCCACAGCTGGTGGAAGGCCACAGTCTATCCATGGTGCCCTGGAAGGCTGAAACAGCCCACAGGATGGAATGTCTCAGAGTACAGAAGCAAGCCTGCAGCCTGAGATCATGGGGCCAACGAGGAACTCTTCAGACACCTGTGTGGGAGAATGAGGCCAGGCCAGGCCACGGCACTTACAAAGTGGATGTCTCCTGATGCGACATCGTGGTGCACTCGGTAACCTGCCCGGATGGGGCGGCTGTCGCGGGGCCGTGTGGTGTAGTAGAGCACAAATCGGCTGCGCCGCACCAGCAGGTGCAACAGGAAGCACAGCAGCTCCAGGCCCGCGGAGACCAGGAAGAAGATGATGGTGCTGGCCCGCTCATCCGGGAGCAGCAGTTTAGTGAGGATCCGGCTCAGAGAGATCATCACCCCTGCGGTGCCTGGAGGTGAGGCAGTGGCTACTGAGCATTCCCAAGGCCTCTCTCACCCACGCCACCCCTACCCCCACTCCATCCCATCCACCACCAGTCTGCCCTCACTGAGTCCTACCCAGTCCCAATCCACAGTACCTGGTCTACCGTCCTACCAGGCCCCACCCGCCATCCTGTCCAAGGCCCCAACTTCTCCCCAACCACTTGAAGCCCCTCACCCCTATGTCTTATCTCCCGACCCCCAGCCCAGCTGAGCCTGATCTCACAAGCCCCACCCACTCCTGGACTCACTGCCTGTCTGCCCATACAGCCTGCTTCAGCCCAGGACTGCTGCTGCTCTCACCAACCCCCTCCCCCCATCATTTCACACCAGGGGCAGCATCACTGAGCTTTTGCTGGGTATCCTGCCCTGAGGTACTCCACAGGGAGGACACAAGGCCCTGCCTTCCTAGGCTTAATGGAGAGAGGCCACAGATAAGCCATGGAAACACACAACAGTGGTACAGGGTGTACACTGTGGCAGAAGACGTGTCCAGAGGGGAAGGATCAGAGTAGCGTTCCCTGCGAGGGGACTGGAGAGCCAGGCACACAGACTGAGAGTGAGCACTCCAAGTGAATAACAGTCATAAGGGTGTGTGAAACACCGAAAGGTTCCCACCCCCACCCCCAGCAGGGACCGGCTGGAGGAGGGTGTCAGGGTCAAGGCAGGCAGGACTGCAGCAGAGAGCAGGTAGAGTTTTGCTTAAGTGAACCTACAGCTGCAGAGCAGTGTGGGGCAAGACTAGTCATGTCCGCCATGAGCTGATGGAGATGGGCAGGGCTCTAAGTAAGTCTGTTTTGAGGGGCTCTTGGCTACCAAATCAGTACACCAACACCATCCTGATGGGCTAGCCACACTGATTCCACCACAAAATCTACTGGTTTGGGTTAGGAATGTGGCTCAGTTGGTAGAGTGCTTATTAAACATGTGTGATGTCCTGGGTTCTACTTCCAACCCTTGGTAAAGAGAGTGTGGTGAGGCCAGGTGGTGGTGGCACACTCCTTTAATCCCAGCACTTGGGAGGCAGAGCCAGGTGAATCTCTGTGAGTTCGAGGCCAGCCTGGTCTACAGAGCGAGATCCAGGACAGCACCAAAGCTACACAGCTACATAGAGAAACCCTTGTCTCGAAAAAACAGAAGAAGAAGAAGGAGAAGAAGGAGAAGAAGGAGAAGAAGAAGAAGAAGAAGAAG